CGGACGTTGCGGTTTTTAGATTTTTTGACACATTCTCCCATGCACAAAAAATCACTAAGTTGAAGATTTTTCCCGTGTTTTTCAGTTGGCCTGAGGCAGCGGGAAGATGAAAAATGCATCCAATTGGCTTGGTGCGATGATTTATTTCACTTTCAAAAAAAAAAAAAATTAATCTTTCGTGGAAACATCATAACCTAATCAAAGGCAGGAAGAGTACATTATTTAGATGACAAGTGTGAGATTTTTTACCTTTTCCTTTAGGACGAGTATTTTTCAAAAAATTGGAAAGGAAAGAGCTTCTGCGAAATAGTGAACCTAGTCAAAATTTAGATGGGGCAAGGACAGCAGCCGGAGCTTACATTTTCTTTTTTTGTTTCTATGAAATCTTCGTTTCAAATTTTGGATTTTACCTTTAGATTGTTAAAGTTTACTTGATACCTTTTTTTTTTTAATAAAAAAAGACAATTTATTATAAGTTGGGAACCGGGTCCAGCGTCCCTCACAAGAGTGTCGCAGCTATCGAGCTGAGCAAGGCTCTCCGGCCAAGCAAAGCCCGAACCACGGTATTTGAAGACAACCCAACAAGCCTAAAAAAGAAAAAGAAAAAAACTACCAAAGGTCCGAAACCCTAAATATACGAATTAGATAGGGAGCCCTAATTAACCTAACTAACATTAACACAAGCACCCAACCAGAATCGTACACAATATTCAAAACTCTACAACCTAAGCAATCTTCGAAATCTCTAGAGTCTAGACTATTTATCATTAACACAAAAAAATGTACACAATATTCAAAACTCTATATCCTAAACAATCATCAAAGAAATCTCAAACCCCAATCATATATGCGTCCAACCAAACTCCAACCATGCATGCATCGGACGAAAGCGAAGCCCTAACCACGCAAAGAACCTGTAAACAAAAACTTCACAAAACAGCTATGAAGTACCTAGTAAACCAACGACAGCAAAACACAGTTGCAAATCCCCCAGTTTGTCAACTCTCTCTCTCTCTCTCTCTCTCTCTCTCTCTCTCTCTCTCTCTCTCTCTCTCTCTCTCTCGACTAGCTATTATTGACACAAACCCCAATCATATGTGCACCCAACCAATCCCCAACCATGTTTGCACATGAACCAAAGCAAAGCCCTAACGACGCAGAAAACCACTAAAGAAGAAATTAAACTCCTCAAAACAGCCACGGATTATCTAATAAACTAGCAGAACTTTACTACTAATTGGCCATCATAACTGTAGAATTAAGAAAATTATCACCACGGTAGGGAGTCCATCCGTCGGCATAAGTACACCGGCAGCCGGGAGAAAGCTCGATCAAACGATGTGTCGTCCCGCTCAGCAACCAGAACGGGCACCTATCAGCTCCAATGCTCCTCATATCGTGACTCTCATGGTGACGTCTTCCTCAAGTCAAGACTCCATATCTAAAACCAGGGGATGAAACCCCTGATCGGTTGCCATGAGGTATGAGGCGGCGACCAGGATCTCGCCCGTCGGTTGTCCCCACTTCAAACTCCCTCCATTCGTCAACTGAAGAGGATTCCCGAAAAATACCGACCGAGATCGGCCATAGCCAAGGGCTTGGTATCACCCCTGTGAAGCACACACCCCACCCGCGCCCGCGCGCCCTACACCACGTGCCGCCCCTGCCATGCCACCAGCAAGCTCTGGCGTGCGAAGCCAAACACTCGTTGAGCCCGCTGTGCGATCCCCCGCTGCCCTGTCGCCGCTTGGCGTTAGCTCTCTACTTGGTACCTTTTAGCACTTGCAAGCCCTTTGTTTTGTACTTCGTTTGTATTTAGTTTGTGCCCCCATTAGTTTTGGTTCTTCTCTTGGATTCATCTTCGGTTCGTTTTTGAAAATCTTTCTTTTGATAGGCTTATAGCTTGTAATGGTAGTACAGACATGAGATGTAAAAAGATAAATCTTTGTAAAAGTTACATGAGTAGGTGAGTGGGAAGATAATTGTTACTGCAGACAACCTTTTGGGCTTGGCCGATGATGTCGTGCTCGATTGAGTGGTCCGCCCACTTTTTGGAAGGGACGTCGGGCCCGTTTCCCGGCTTGTATAAAAAAAAAAAACAAAAAAAACAAGTGATATTCACTTTGTTTTCAAAAAAAAAAAAAAAAAAAAAAAGATTCCCAAAAATAATGAAAAATGAACAGACAGCAAAATAAGAAAGTACTCGCTTGCAAGGCCCTATGCTTGCAGGGCCCCCCTCTATATGGTCTTACGAGTAGTGGTAGGAAGGTAGTGAAAGGTGAAAAATAATTTGAGAGAACAACATAGTGTATGTACAAAATAAAAATAAAAAAAATTCACCTTGTGATAGGATAGGATAAGGATAGGATAAAATCACTCAATTGAGACAACTCAAAGAATCACAAAAATGAGACAACTCAAAGAAAACAGTCGTCACACATGGAGCACAAGTGAATGGCGCACACGTGAGCGACAACGTAGTTACAAGGTGGAAGTAGGTCCAATTGAAGTACATTTGTACATTACCGCGATCCATGTCCCCGAACTACTGTCGTCAAGGACGACAGCAATCGTCACTGCTCGTCTACCCGAAAGAGGACATCTACACTAAATATCTACGTATATATAGTCCGCAAGTCCCTGCTCATACGAGCTCACAGTCAGTTGTTCGAGGTGAAAATTTTCAAACTAGTCCCAAGGGAACTGTACTAATCCCAAGATAATTGTGTCGATGGTCCAAGAAGACTGTACCCAAAACAACTAACCAATGCTCGAATCCGAAATAAAACTAGTCAAAATAGTCTGAAATCCAACTTCTACGATTCGCCTTGTTCGTGAAGCAAATCACTATCTAACCTAGGTTTGAAACCATGACAACAAAAAAATGTGATCCTAGTTCCAGACCTTAGGTAATAACCTTGTCAAAGTCCAAAGTTAATACGAGAGGTCCAAAGTTAGTCAATATCCGAAAAATCAGGTTCCCTGTCACAGTCCACGAATCCTACAAAATAAAAACACAAAGTCACATCATTACCAAACTTCGTCAAAACAATAAACCAATAAAGTCCGCCAAGCATTGGATAACTGATGAGCCGATGGCCTAAGACAAGTATCGAACAGCAAGTTGCAAGATGTCACCTCTTCGTACAACAAAATGCTTTAGGGTATGCATTACAAATCTTTTGGGGAAATTTTTCAGAGCCAATTCAAGTTGCAATGTCAAAACCCTGTCCGGGATCTCTGAGCGTACAGAATTATTTTTGTCGATCCGGTGAAGATAGTTGCCAATAATGACACTCTTCTGCCTCTTGTAACCCCAAGAATAGTAGGACTGTCCATTTTGTATCATGAGTTTCCCGGAACCCCACACACATTCTTCGTTCTTTGACAACTGTACGCATCCCAAATACGGAAATGATTGTGCAGTTCGCACTTCGCACCCAAGAAACTCAAATGTTCCCGAACCATCGTCGGTCCGCTTTAGCTGCAAATTATCCGGATAACATCTTAAGAACAGTTTCATGATCCAATCAAAGGTATCGACATCATGGTATGAAACGGCCAGCATTATATCATCAATTAGCCGTGTAGCAAAAACCAAATTAGCCGATCTACCCAAACTTGAAGTACATATGAAATTGTACTCGGAGTAGGCACACATGATACAGACGAGGGGCGGACTTGTACTTTTCCCCATGGGAATCCCCAATTCCTGCTTGAGGATGACCCCAGTAGCAAAAAAATACATATGAGATACATCAATCAACAGGAAATTTCGAATGGCAGCAAGGTCAAGTTTTCTCCAATGGTCAACACCAGTTGAGTTCCCAAAACTCACTCCCTTACCTCTGGTGTTCACTCTAACCCAATTTCGATTGCGAGACAAATGATAGGAAAGTAACCAATCAATGGAATTGAAAATCACCGGATGAGGCAATTTACTAAGCATTTCCTTAATATCAAATCCTTGCGTCACAATCGTACGATTAGGGCCTAGGCGACGAAAGCGTTGATTAGCCACACGTAGACCATCCGCAGATATGAGACAGATCTCACATTGAAATGTCATTTCTTTGGCAAAGTCTTCAACAGAAAGTTCAGGGACTTAGCAACTATCCTCCCAGTTCGTACCATAGGCTCCTTAAACGAAGGACATATAGGTCGGCATCTGCACAAGTCTTTCTGTTTTTGAATGACGTAAGCGGATCGAAAACCGCCTGTCTTTTCCCATTTCGCAAACTTCTTCATTCCTTTGGCTGGCATATCCTCATAAATTTCCCGAAGGATAATCCCTTCAGTCGCTCGCATTACGCTATAGGAGTCTGTACCCACCGTTGAATACAAATGTGGTCAACATGGCTTCGTGATACACGTAAGGGCACATCACGACAGACTCACCCGGGTTCCGGTCAATTCCGGTAATCACCAGTCCATCGAATTGATTCTTCAAATCCAAAACATCTGTCATTGACAAGAACTTATCGGAACAAGATGGCTTCATGAAACAAGATTGAAGTGCATCCAACGGCACACAAGGTGCCCTGTTTTTACAGTTATGCCAACTTTTGAATCCCCGAACGAGCTGTTCACGAAGAAGGGGCATACGGTCATAAACAATCGCTCTCGGTATGATTTTACCGTTTGACAAGAGGGGGTGAATCCCCTCCATTTCGCTAAGGCGGAAGAAGACGTGTCCCTCCAATAGAGGAAGAGAAAAATCCACACAATTGCAGACTAGCACATCGCGTGCAGCAAAGCTACGCTGATTGTGCAAAATATCAGATACTGAAGGGTTCTTGACCCAAACAATATGAATCTTCTTCCGTGCACGAGCAAGAAAACAGTACGGCAAATCACATTCCATGAGTAGGTCGTTAGCAACCTTCCTAAGCTCAGAGATACGAATTCGATCATCATACTGAATCCGAAAGATTAAGTCAACGGGAGATCAAGCGACGCAAGTATTTCCTCGTGGATTTCCGAGAAATCCCATATTACCGGTCATGTCATTAATCTCCTGCATAACACATGTGTCGCTTCATCCATCGCTTCCTCCAGAAGAAGAGTAGCCTTCCGATTCGCATAACTCCATCTTCCCTTTCCCCTTATGGGAGGGAAAGCACGACGGTAACACCGTCTTCTTAATTTCAGCGATGAACTTGTCCTTCATCTCATGCCAGTGCAGATCCATGAGCATCTCCAACCTCAAATCCTTCCGCATCTCCGCCCGTTTTTCAGCCTCGTTGTGCAGTTTTTCTTTCTTCTTCTTATCTTTCAAGGCACGTTTCTCCGCTTCTTCCTCCTCAAGCCGCTGAGCCTCAGCTTTCTCAAACTTACGCCGAGCTTTCTCTTCCTTCTTGCGTGCTTCAATATCACGCCGAGCTTTCTCTTCCTTCTTGCGTGCTTCAATATCATACTGCGCCTTCATCGCCCCAATGCTTCTTGCCAGATCGGCGATCTGGGAGTGCACTCCCAAATCCCTTATGGGCAACTGATGTCGTCTGTTATCATACCGTCTTGGTGAACGTGAACGTTGCCTCCCGCTTGAGGAAGACGATCGAGATGGATAATTCCTTCGGCCCCGATTGGGGCATCGATGAGCATAGTGGGCGACTTCATTGCAGTTGAAGCAAGTCGGTGCCCGGTACTGCCTCCGGTCGGTGCGGTCACCTCCCCCATGATCTCCTCCGCCTCCAGACACGTTCCCTCCATCTCGCTGGTCGTTATTGGACATCTTCAAAGGTAAACTCCAACTTCACTGATACGTACTCACAGTCGCGAAACACCCGTAATTCGGGTAAAGCACGCTCACTCCGCCCGGCAGGAGACTCCAGGTAAGTTCACGTGTGCAATCCGTGGATAGGATAAAATCACTCAATTGAGACAACTCAAAGAATCACTCAAATGAGAGAACTCAAAGAAAACAGTCGTCACACATGGCGCACAAGTGAATGGTGCACAAGTGAGCGACAACGTAGTTACAAAGTGAAAGTAGGTCCAATTCAAGTACATCCGTACATTACCACGACCTAGTAAACCACCAATGCGATCCACGTCCCCGAACAGGTTAAAACTACTGCCGGCGAGGACGACAGCAGTCGTCACTGTAAATATCTATGTATATATAGTCCACAAGTCACTAGTCCGCAAGTCACTGCTCATACGAGCTCACAGTCAGCCGTTCGAGGTGAAATTTTTGACACACTGCTCATAGGAGTCTACCTTATGAGCCTTTCAGAAAAGAAAAAAGAAAAAAGAGAAAGTCATGAGCCCGATGCATGACACACCATTGCAAGGATCAGTCACGACAGGGTTATGAGACTTTAAAAAATCCGTTATGAGCCTTCCCCCCCCCCTCCTACCCCCCTCCCAGAAAAAAAAAAGGTTATGATCCGGATGCATGACACCATAGCAAAGGATCAATCATGAGAGCACAGCCTGTATCGCAATAGGTTTGAATCCAGAGCATGAGAGTGAATAAGGGATACATGTGACTGTTTTTTTTTTTTTTTTTTTTTTGGGCGTAGAGGATGGCCACATGTCACTGGCTGGTGCCGCGTTTAGGTAAGGAGTGTGGACACTGGGTGTGCAGGAACAGGGTTCCGGGGCCAAGTCCCACTAGCAGCGTTGAGCTATCTCAACGCCCGAATCTGGACGCTTTTGCGGAGATGTGCAGAAATGGTGTTGACTTTCCTGAACTGCACGTCTCCACAAACACGTCCAGATTCAGGCGTTGAGGTATAGCTCAACGCTGCTAGTGGGACTTGCCCCCCGGGCTCCTGGTGGGGCAGGACAACCCTGTTGTCCCTGTTATCGACTATCTTGATCATGTAATTGCCCTGGGCACTGGGCCCTGTTGATAAAAAAAAGTGCAATTTCGGTTTTAAGAAAAATTTTAAAAAAAAGAAAAAAAAAAGAAAAAAGAAAAAGAGTTTATATAAGTTGGAATCGTCATAATCCGATGAGAAACAGAGAACACAAACGGTGGCAAAAATGTAAGGGACAAAAAAAATGGAAGGGGCAAGAAAGTAGGGACAAAAAAAAAAAAAAAAAAAAAAAAAAAAAAAAAAAAAAAAAAAATAGATACACGAAGCATACATAGCCTTCGGGTAGACACATAGTTTGCCAACTACACAACTATCTGACTGGGGGAGTCTAGTCACTGGTGGGGTCT